CAGATGGCCAGGCAGAAATGTCAGCTCAGGCATGCAGTAACATGGTAGTTGTAAGAGTTCTGGATTTGGAGGCAAAAGACCTGGGTTTGAATCCTAGGTCTGACACGTATAGCCTAGGTAACTGCGGATGAGTAAGTTAATATCTCTAGGCCTCAGTTTTCTAGATGGACTGAGTGATCTCTAAGATACCATCATTAGTCTGAACATGTGGTTGTGGTTGCAGACATGTTAGCTGGGTTTCTTTTTGTGTGTGTGTGAGAGAGAGAGAGAGAGAGAGAGATGGGGGCTGGAAGGAGGGGAGAAGGGGATAGAGCTTGTACAAGAACACATATATAGTGGAATACTCTTCTGGGGATCTTTGGACTACCAAAGCAGAATTTCCCAGCCATGAAGTTACCACCTTACACTTTGTTTTTCTCCTTGCATCCTCCACAGCTCTTCCTCTGTAGTATGAAGTCCAGTCTAGGCAGCTAGGTGGCATAGTGGGTAGAGTACTTGCCTTCAGGTCAAGAAGATTTGGGTTTACACCAGATGCTTAACAGATGTGTGATCCTGAGCAAATCACCCTCCCTCTCTGTGTTTTAGTTTCCTTATCTATAAAATGAGAAGGTTGGAACAGAGGGTCTATAAAGTCCCTTCTAACCTTAAATTTATTATCCTAAGGAATAGCAATGCTAGAGCCGTTGATTCCTATCAGCTAACTGCACCCAGCCCTAAGTATTGGTCATTGTACTTTTCTTACCCAATACCTATGCCTATCACTACAGTGTAGCACTGCCTCCCCCGGAGTGTTTTTAGGGAAGTAGCATCATGTGTTAAGAAAGTATATGTTTGTATAGAAACCTCTTAACATAAGGGTAACAGCATAATGAGCAACATTTGGGTAGGGATAAAAGGAGAAGCCAAAGTGATATTGCTTGGAAGTATATTACTGACCATGATGCTTGATTAAGGGTGCTTGTTGTCCTCAAGTAACCTTATGTAGCCCTTTGTGCTTTTGTGCAGAAAAAATATATAATCCTATTAGCAAATATTTTTGTAGAGTAACTATGATTTAATAAATAGACTAGTGATATAAACTTAAAACAGATACATAGTAACATATATTTACTAATCTGTGAACACATGTATCCCCTTAATGTAATGTAACTTTGTTAAGGGCAGGGATTATTTTGCTTTTGTATTTGTATCCCCAATGCCTAGTATAAAGTAGGTGCTTAATAAATGCTTATTGGTTTAAAAATGGTTGTTTGATTGACTGCTATAAACTACCTACCCAGTCAGAGGATATGGATGATGCTTTCTTAAAGTATATTCCCAAAATAGATTTCACCTATGTGAATATATACTAAGAGTCTGTTCTGTTAAAAGCAAAGTACCTGATAAATATTTGTCATGACTTGCAGACAATTTCCTCTTTTACAAGTTAACTAGGGAAACTGCCTTTCTGAAATTAAATCTGACCAGTCAGCCAATCAGTCAATGAGCATTTATTAAGTGCTTACTATGTGCCAGGTACTGGGTTAGGTAGTGAGGATAAAAACAAAACAAAACAAAAAAAGCAACAGTCCCTGGCCTCAAGTTTTCATTATATGGAAGGAAACAACATGTACTTTTATAAGTATGTGCAGAAGAGATTTGAGGTGATTTTTCTGGGAAGGGCACTATAGTTGGGAACATTAGGAAAGGCTTTGAGGTAGTGTTTGAACTGAGTCTTGAAAGAAGCTAGAGAGTCTAAGAGGTAGAGGTGAAGAGAGAGGCATAGGGGACTCAGATGCAAAAGCATGAGAGATGGGAAATGGATATCATGTATGAAGATTCAAAAAGGAAGTGGCCAGCAATATAGAATTGACAAGAACTTTGGATGAAAATGGTCTAGTAATATTGGAATTCATAATAATAATGAAAAGAAACCCAGGCCATAGCTAACTATGTACCCTAGATGTTAAGAAACCCGTTTCTTCTTCTTTTTTTTCTTTAAAGATAGATATGATAGGAATATGGCTGCAAAGAGATGAGCAGCCAAAGTAAAATAAATAAATTCTGACTCCGTAATTGTGAGTAATCCTGATGAGGAGAAAAGAGAAAAGCATCTAATGAAGGCAATGTGCTCCCTGATGTGCTCAGCTTTAAAGCTATCATATATATAGATATATATGATATATAGATATATATACATACACACACATATATAATGTATATATGTATGTATAATGGAAAAAAGAGCATACAACTAAGAATGAATTTTAAAAGTGGTTGAAACTTCCAAAAACAATGTCAGGAAGCAGGCTTGAATAAGCTAAGCTTTATTTTTTTAATGCAAAACCTTTTTTTTTTTAAGCTACATTATTGCTTAGGAAAGATGGTATAATTTTTTACAGAAAACAGAGAGAAGGCAGAATAACTCAAATCTTAGTTTGCTTTCTTCTTTTTCATCAAGGAAAATGATCCACAAATTAGAAAGAGTAGGACAAAATTCCTAAGAAGGAATCAATACCTACTATAAGGAAGGAAATAAGAAAAGGTAACCTGGCCACTTTCAAGTAAGTCAGGTATTTCAGGTTAAGGTGAATTGATTACATGGTACTGAAATAACTTGTAGCTATCAATACAGAATCACAGTAGGTAATTTTTTTAAGAAATCATGAAGTACCAGAAAAGCTCCAGAAAACTGGAAACAAGAAAATATCCATGTGACACCACAATCTAGAGAACTACTACTACTGTATTTCACAACCTACTCCAAGGCTGTGGTCTTTTCTTTTCCAGCAATCATGCGCTTGGCTCACTGGTGCTCCCTACTGATTTCTAGCAGCTACTACTACCACTGTGCAGGTGGTCCTTCAGGGAAAGGAATCAGCTTTTCTCTACTCATGTTCTCTAAAAATAAAGAGCCAACCATTTTCAGGTGATTCTTACAAGGGTTACTATAAAGCATTATAGGGAAGAACATAAAAAGATTACCAAAACAAATGACAGGGGAAAGAGATATACATACATACACACACATAAATATATACATATAATACATATGTACATACGTGTGTATTTATATACACACATATATCACATTTTCAAATATATACAGGCATACACATTTATATGTATTTTTTAATTAATCCCTGTGTCTATGAGGAACTCAGCCTAGCTCTTTCTTAGTTCCTTCTTCCTATTTCTTTCAAGCATATCTCTAGAGACAGTTGACCCACTACATCTTTGTGTTTCCCACAATGCCTAGAATAATGTTATGCATGTAGCAGGTGCAGAACCAAAATGTGTCGAAGGAATATGGAGTTCACCCAAGGCCTAATACGTTCACAGAGCTGACTAAGCATTTACGTGATATTTTATCAGGGCATAGTACATTCCAAAAATTCTTATCAGTTATTTCTACTACTCACTCTGTGGATCAGGCTAACACAAGGGACTGTTTCTTCTAGAAGAGTCAGTTGCAACTTTTTTCATTTGTTTGGCATATTCACAGAGGGGTCATATTTAGGGTTAGAATCCTCCCTCATTGGCTTACTCACTAAAGCAAATTGAGTCTGTTTCTGGTTGTCTGATGTTATTCAGAATGATAACAATACATCAGAAATTTAGCTTTCCACAAAATCCAATTCAAAATTCAAGTCATGAGATACAAAGTTCCTCCCTGTAGTAAGCCCTGAGGGTACAAGGACAAAAGAGCTAAAAGTAGACTCAGCAGGTACCGATTCAGATTCCATCTCTCACCCTCACAACCTGGGTGATGTTGGGCAGATTGCTGAATCTCCCTGAGCCTCCGTTTACTCACCTACAAGATGAGCGGCCTGGACTGGATGACTTCCAAGCTCTCTTCCAGATCTAAATCTAAAACCTAAAAACTAAAACAGACTCTGCCCTCAAAGAGCTTACATTCTCCTGGAGAAGATGGAGGGTACTACATTACAGCATACATGTAAAACTCTTAACTTTTGAGCTTAATGATCAGTAGAAGATATCTAGGCAACTGATGTGAAGATCATGTTCATGTAGCCCTGAATAAAACTTTGGGGATACAAAACACTTACCGTATCTTAATTCTTCTTTGAACCTGAAGACTTTTTATCTGCTGCTATTCATTACAAAAGATCTCATCAAGCTGCCATGTATTATCAGTTGCTCCTTTGTGTTTCAGGAATCTTCTAAGGAAAAAAAAATGCACATTAAAAGAATTATATAAATTTTTTTGGTCATATGAATTCTTTGGTATAAAGAACTCCCAGCAAGGAAATTCCCTCATCAATCAGCTCTTACTCTGAAATTCATATTAGTGAATTGTGTGGGGCACTGGGAGATAAAGTGATTAGTCCAAGCTTACATTGTCAGGTATGTCATAGGAAGGACTTGAAGAGAGGCTTTTCTGGTTTCAAGGACAGTTCTCTGTACATTAAACCAACAGTTTTTAAAATGTGGTTCAGGGACTAGAGGTCCCAGAGACCATTTCAGGGGATCTTGGAGGTCATTATTATTTTTCATATTGTTTTAAACTTGAACAATACAAATCAATAGATATAACCCACATAAACAAAAGCTTTTTGAGGGAAAATTCAATAATTTTTAAGAGTTTAAAGGGGTCTTTAAACCAAAAAGTCTGAGAACTGCTGTTCTACACCAAGCTGCCTTAAATACAAATGCTATAAGTTATATCATGGGATGCTGTCTTTTATAAGGATCCATTCTGACTGTGTTTGACAGAGATTACATTTGGTCTTATTGTTTGGTATATGGTCTTTGGTTATTCTATTTTGGGGAAGAAATAAAGATGGTAGAAAAATATTTGACAGTTATAAGTTTGTGATGGTTGTACATTAATATATAGTGAGTGTCCACCTTATGCCCAGTATTTTTTAGGAAAATATGATTTCTTGCATGTATTTTAGGAATTTCCTATTGTAATAATCTCTTCTGGTTCCTTATAAAAGTGCTTCAAATTTCTTGATTTATTAATATGTGTTATATTTTTCTTTCCCCCCCAATAGTTTTGTCTTTTGTATGGAACCAAGTTGGTATTCCAGGAGAGAGCATGGTACTTAGAGCATAAATACTTGACCCCAGCAAGCAGTGTGCAGATCAGAAGTCAGGTAAGGCTCTTTGCCATGGGTCAAGACAGGGTGTGGGTCATTAACAATTGGCGGGACTTTGCTTTCTTAGTAAACAGTTCTTATCAAGCTGGTATCACTTGCCTCCTAAAGAATTTCAGTTCTTCTAGAATTTCACATGCATGCTGTTTTATTTTCTACTGCTATCGTGTTACATTTCAGACTTAAGATGACAAGGAAATGATTCATTGTTTTTGCCTGAACTCCCTGACATGAACTCTCCTTCCCTCTGCCTGCCATCTATGACTCCAAAAAGGGCTTTTCTTGAGTTAACAGGAAAGAAAAAGAGAGAGAGGGAGGGAGGGAGGGGAAAAGTAAGAGTGACTGAGAAAGAGGGAGAGAGAGAGAGAGAGAGAGAGAGAGAGAGAGAGAGAGAAGAAAGAAAGCTTTGTATATTCTTGCAATGGTATCACTACCTATAAACCCATATCAATTCATCAAATAGTTACACAAGGTTGTGCTGGTAATTGCTTAACAATGGTCTCTCTGGAAGAAAAACGTATCCATAATACAATATTAAGTTTAATCTGCATTATTAACATTTCCCCCCTTACTTTATCAATAAATCACAATAAATCAAGTCCTGATTTGTAGCATTTGCTGATTTCTGAAATGCAAATACTTACACTGAAAATTTAACAGTTGGGTCTCATGAGCCAATTTGAACTGGCCCCAGCACACTAGAGGTTATTTGTTGTTCAGTCACGTCCAACTCTTCATGACCCTGTTTGGGGTTTTCTTGGCAAAGATACTGGAGTTGTTTGCCATTTCCTTTTCCAGCTCCTTTCACAGATGAGGAAACTGAGGCACACAAGGTTAAATGATTTGCCCAGTGTCACATAGATAGTAAATATCTGAGACTGGATTTGAATTCAGGGCTTACTGAATCCAGGTCCGGCACTCTATCCATTGTGCTACCATTGTGCCCTTTTCTTTTTTCTTTTTTTTTTTAATTAATTAATGTATTTAGTTTTAGTTTTCAACATTCACTTTTATAAGATTTTGAGTTCTCAATTTTCTCCCCTTCCTTCTTCCCTCCCCAAAATGGCATGCAATCTGATATAGGCTATACATGTATGAACTCTCTGACATGAACATATATTCAATGAACATAAATATATTCAAAGTATAATCATATTAAACATATTTCTACATCACTCATGTTATGAAAGAAGAATCAGAACAAAAGGGAAAAACCACAAGAAAGAAAACACAAACAAACAATAAAAGGGAAAATAGTATGCTTCGATCTGCATTCAGACTCCATAGTTCTTTCTCTGGATGTGGATGGCATTTTCCATCATGAGTCTTCTGGAATTGTCTTAGGTCACTGCATTGCTGAGAAGAACTAAGTCTATCAAAGTTGGTCATTACACAATGTTCTAGCTGCACTTTTCAGGGGAAATAAATACAGCTTTTCCCCACAGAAAAAGTTGGCCTGGTCTGTGAGATTCTCAAACAGGAGAAAGGCTAGACTATTTCAATAAGCCAGAAAAATCAAGGGACCACAAAAGAGGGACTATACTATACATATTGTACACTATATACTATATAGATATATGTATATTATACATACTATAGGGATTTCTTTGCTAGAGTAGAGTATGTAACTGTGAAATGACAGTAAGTTTATATATATGTATATGTATATATATGTGCACATATAGTTGGTGTATAAGTATATAATTACAAATGTATGCATATACCTATATACACACATGTTTAGCACTTAATACTTTTCAGAATATATATAGCAGATCAGGAGTGTTGTAGATTTGGAATCAGAAGATTCAACTCAGAATTCTGGTTCTGCCATTTTATTAGCTGTTCTATCTTGACCAGATCACTTAACTTTTCTGTGCTTCAGTTGCCTCATCTGTAAAATGGACATGATAATACTTCCTGCACTCTTTACCTCAAAGTACTTCTGTGACTCAAATTTGCAAATTAGACAGCTCTACAAGGATGTCAACTGTTCTCCCATGGACTCTACAAAGTTAGGAGGGAAGGGATTATTGTTTTCCTTTTTCAAATAACTGAGGTTAGGTGACTTGCCCAAAGTCACGTAGCTAATAAGTAACAGCCAGGGCTAGAATCTCAGTCTCCTAACCACAAGTGGATTTTAGATTCATCTAGAAGCTGGATTGATTTTTTAGATTCCTTAATTAGTAAATATTAGTAAATTAGTAAAAATCAGTAAAGATACCTTAATTAGTAAAGAGTACCTGAAGTCCCTGAAAGTGTTCCTAAGATTTCAGAAGTAGGTGGAGAGCAGGAAGGGCCTTTGAGAACATCTGTCCTAGCCCCTTGATTCACAGGTATAAAAATTGGAGCCCAGAATATGATATGACTTGCTCATGGTCATAGAAGCAACTAGTGAGGGAGTAACAGAGCCGGTATTAAAAAACAGATTCTTGGTTTTTTTTGCTCCAGACCCAGTGTTTTTTAAAATTGTCATTGTGAAGGCCTCACACTACACACCATAAAGCCCTGTCTGGTTTAATATGTGAAAAGTCATATGAGTAAACATTTATTAAATGGAGATATTTCATAAATATGCACCAATGGAATTCTACTCTATCAAGAAATCTTTAAAAGAACACAAAACAATGCAGTGGATAGAGCACTAACCCTGGAGTCAGGAGGACCTGAGTTCAAATCCGGCCTCAGATATAACACTAACTAGCTGTGTGACTCTGGGCAAGTCACTTAACCCCAATTGCTTCACCAAAAAAACCCAAAAAACACAAAACAAATGACAACTAGAAATTCAAGGTGACACACCATTGAAGGGTCAAGGATTTGTTGGTCTTGTGATACAAGTAGGGGCATGCTAGAGGCAGCTCTAATGTTTGAAAGACCATTGTTAAACTTTCAGTGTGCGTATTTATACCTTGGAAACTGGTAATTGATATAAATCAAGGTTTAGTTTATTGTTTTGTTGGTTGTCTATACTTAAGAAAGTGTAAAAATATAGATTAACCTTAAAAATGTGTATGCATCTATATACAGAATATATGTGTGTATGTAGATGTATGTGTATGTATAGTGTATGTATAGTATGTATATGTGTGTATGTATATATGTATGTGTATGTATATGTGTATATATGTATATATAGTGTGTATATGTGTGTGTATATATGTATGTATAGTGTGTGTGTGTGTACAGTGTATATATATGTGTGTATTTCTTCCCCCTGAAAAACCTGGTTGTTAAACATTTAACCGCATGCTTCTGGACGCAGGATAATAAAAGATAACTTCTCTTAGGAGGTGAAATTGTGTGCTGGAAAGGGCACTGAATTTGAAGTGAGAAGACCCAAGCTCAAATCTTAGCTGAGTACCTTAATATTTGTGTAACATCAGGCAAATAACTTTGCTCTGCTGTTGCTTCTGTGGTTCTTCACTTGTAAAATGGGGGTGGGTGGTTGGTCAGACGAAATTACCTCCATTTGTGAGTAATTGGACCTCAGCTATAACTTCTCCCTCATCTTAGTTACTCACTTAGCTTCGTGGCAAGGGAGACCCTAACAGTAGTCTGAAGAGTAATCTGCATCCACTAATGTCCAGCATTGCTCTTACCTCTCCTGAGCAGTGACACATACTTTATACCCTCAGATCACTCCCTAAGACTACCTTCTTTTATTGTATCTATGGAAGGAAGAGGATTCTTCCTGAATTCCTTGTCTTTGGCTGACTAAACTGTTAATCAACAATATATAAACCCACTGAAACAATTGTTGGTTTACCTGTTCCTGATACAGAGCTTAGCCAGCAACATGTTAGAAAAATGAGGTGATCTGCTCCTTTCATATTTGAATGTACCTCATAACTATTTCTGGGATGCCATCAGGGGCAAAATTATATGAAGATTGCAGGGTTATTCATTATATGAAGAAAAGGTAGTATAGTGGATAGAGCATTGGCTTTGGAGTCAGAAAGATCTGGGTTCAAATACTGCCTGAGACATTTACTAACTATATGACCCTGGATGAGTCACTTAACCTCTGTCTCAGTTTCCTCATCCACAAAAGGAGGAATTTGGAATTAATAACCTCTTAATTCCTTTCCAGCTCTAAATTTATTTCCTATGATCTCATGTGCTTTTTATAATAATGTGTAAAGAGATCTTTTATTTTTTGTTCCTAGAAAATTCGGTGTATATGTATTCACAGATTTCCAGTGTTCAATAACTAAGCCATTATTATTGACTTCACTTGCCAGGTACATGCCTATAATATATGCTACCAGGGAGGCTGAAACTTGTGGATTGCTTGGGCTCGGGAGTTCAGAGCTGCAGTGAAGCTAATGCAGATTGGGTGGCCATATTATATCTGGTAGCAGTATGGTAAGCCCCTGAAACCAGGAGACCCCTGTGCTACCTAAGGAGGGACAAACTGACCCAGGTCAGAAATAAAGCAGGTCAAAGCTTCCCTGCTGATAAGCAGAGGAATTATCCCAATTTGGAATTTTATTTCTATGTTAGGAATTGGGTTTCCTATGTTAGGAATTAAGTTTCACAGGGAGGGAACAGGTAGGGTAAAGCACAATTGCATACACAAATGATGTAGGCATAAAAAAAATACATGTGTGGTGCACTAGATTTGGAGTTAAAACAACTGGGGATGTTTACTTTGGAGAAATGGGGATATGATAGCTGTCTTCAAGTGTCTGAAATGCTCTCATGTGAAAGAGGGATTTGTTTTGTTCTATTTGTCCCCATGGGGCAAAACTAGGAGAAATATGGGTGTGAGCTGCAAGGGGGTTCATTTAGATTTCATTTCCAGGAGGAAGAAATGTCCTAACAATGAGGGCATTCAAAAGTGAAATGGGCTCTGCCGAGTTGAGAGGGGCTAGTGGGCTCTCCTTAGTGGAGGTCTTCAAGCAAAGGCTGATTAATGCCTTACCAGGGTGTTAAAGTGGGCATTCTTTTGAAAGTAGGGGTTAGGCTGGATGGCTGCTGAGCGACTTTCCAGCTCT